ATTCGAAGACGATGAACGTCAGTCATAGTAAACATCGTCGGTTGAAATATGTTTTCTTGAAAGTATTATTTTTAAGAAATCAAACATACTTCAACTACTTGAAGGTACATTCTTCTAAAAAAAAAAAAAAGAAGCAGATTGAAAATTGCTATAATGAAGATAAAATTTCAAGTTATTCTTACCATTTGAAAAGAATAATTCTCTAACGAGCTGCGGGAACGATATGTACGAATCAGGTGAAGCGGAGCGGGTCAGCGAAAAAGGAATGTTCGAGCGTCGATTTGCCGAGCGAAACAAACGTAGGAAATTGGCAGTTAGTCGAAGGTTCAATTTTTCAGAGTTAATACCGCTCGGTTGGAGGAAGCTGTGCGTCGAGGGGATGCGGAGCGAGGAAGAAAGGCCGAATGGAAGAGGACGGTCGTCGGCGTGAGCCTAGGAAATGAGATCTACATACAAGCGACCCAACTGGACCAACGAGAATGCACCGTCCAAGTACAATTTTCATCTGGTTGCAACCGTCCTCTCGCCTGCATCGTTTCTACTCTCTCTCTTTCTCTTTCTACACCTCCCTCTCTCACTCTTCTTTTTGTTACCATCAATCACGTTCTCCTCTGTGTTTACCGGATTGATTGCATTTTCGCGGGCAAATATCACGTTATTGTGATGAGACTGATGATTAGCAAACGAAAGGGGATGAAACCGGGGATTATTATTGTGTATCAATTTTGTTTCCTTGTAATGTTGCAATTCTCTGGTGAAAGATAGGAAATTTTGTTCGATATTTTTTAACAATTTCTGAAAGTGTATTTATAAAACGAAGTTGCACATATAAATCTCTTTATCCTATAATTTTCAGTTGTTTCTCCATATAGAATTAGTCTCCGTTTCTACCGACGCGGCACTCTGTACAAGAAATCCAATTTCATTTAATCTGATATATCTGAGATAACCGTGGACGCGGTTACAGTTTCACACCTCGTAGAACGTTGATCGAAACCTCAGCTCTGTACCTTTTTTATGTAGAAATTCCGTGAAATTTCGGTCGCGTCTCGCTCGCTGAAATCCAATTATATCCGCATTAAATCGTTCCCTGTTTCGAGTAAACGCGAGTCGCGCGAACGGGAAATAAATCTCGCCGCGCAGGGCCTCGTTAGTGCGACGAAACGAAGGATTTTTACAATTATATCCGTGATATATGCGCGCCCAGTGTTGCATTTGCACGCCAGGCTTTGTTCACCTTTGTTTACGTAACGATCGAACAATTTGCGCGCTGAAACAGGCCGAAGCTTACATCCCCGATCGGCCCATAAATATCGCCCGATCGAGAGACCGCGCGATCGCGAATTAAAGCTGTCGATGCTTAGATTTGAAGTCGAATAATGGCCTGGATCGAAAAATAAATCGATGACTTTGATATTTATCGCGCGAGCTTATAATTATTACTATCGGACGATCGGATCGAAACGCTGTTGCGTCGACTGCACGTTGTTGAATCGCGGAAATATAAAGCCACTCGGGGACGGTAAGTTACGCGAATGAATGAATAATACCGTGACGGTGATAAAATTTCACCCGACAGAATTGCTGAACAGGGCTGTGTATCGAGAAGATAAATCGTAATTCTAAACGGACAAGATCGTCGAAACATCAAAGCGGAACTCGAGGCTGAACTCTATTCCCGTTGTCGACGATCAGTTCATCGTAGAAACTCTCTAGCACCCTATTCAGTAATGATCGATGCCGTTTCGAGCTTAGCTAAGCGCGAGGAACGCGCTCGACCCGGCCAAAGATAGCCGGCTTTAGTGCGCGCTGCATTAGCCCCGTTCGTAAGAAGTGGCTTGCGGTTTGCTGAGGAAGAAAAAGGTAGAAGAAAGAGGGAAGCCGAGTGAAGACGGGATAGAGAGGAATAGGTAGCGCGAGTCGAACAGCAGGGAATAGACGAAGAGGAAAGAAAGAAGAAAGAGAAGCGAAGAGGTTACCACTTCATCTCGTGCACCGCCGCCCAACCTGTGGCTAATTAATGCACTTTTGTTGGCTTCCTGCGGCCTTAGTCTGGCTGTGCGCGCACTTCTTCATGGCGCAGGAAATTTCGAAATGGTTTAAGGGAATGGCGCGATATGGCGGTTGCAATGCGAACGTTTTGCGACACTGATTTAACTTTTTAGGACACTGGAAATCACGTCCATCGTGATGGATGTTATTTCAAATGACTGAATAATAAATTAATTAAAAGAAAAACAGCGTGGATATTGATCAATAATTGATTTTCAATGACACGAAATTAACACCTTTGAAACTTGTCTCAATTTATTCGATCGAAAGATTGGATAGCTAATAAGGGTTGCTTCCCACAACCGACGAATATCGATGCTTTGAAATCTTGAAAGCGAATATCGAATTCTCCATGAATTATTAATTCCAGCTCGATCAAATTGCTTTCCGTATGAGGCGTGGATTTCTTTGACACTCGAAAAGACTCTTTCCAATATAATTTTTTCCTCGTGTCGCATGCTAAGTTAGCGGAACCTTTCGAACCGGGCTATCAGCATTTCGATCGGTGTTTTTCAATTAACCTCGATACACGTACGAGCGGGCTCTTTCATTAATAAACATTGCCCATCCCAGTAGATAGACGTCACAAAAGAATTGCAACACGGCCAGAGCCGTGCGAAGATTATGAAAGTGTTGGCCGATTAAAATTCTTCAGCCTCGCGGAAATTCATCGCGGGATCTTTCGTGCTCTTGTGAAACTGGCGAATCTGTTCTTTCCAACTTGCCGTGTCCTCTTCGTCTCGATATCCATACTGATGAGAATGCGCCTCCTCGTTTCAGAATAGAGTATGTCTGTGTCCATTCGATGGGAACCTCCTCGTTTACAATGGAAGCGTGTATTCATGAGTTCCAAGTTGATTTCGAACTTCGTTTCATCTTTCGTTGCTCGTAATCGTGTAACGACCGAATATGAAAGATGCATCTTCGTCGAATCATCTTTGATACAATTATTTGCAAAGCACCCATTTAATGACAAACGAGACGAGTTTTTGAGAAAATGTAATAAAAAAAAATTGGGTGACCGAAACGAGGAAGGTTACAAGTGGCTTTTAATTTTTTCACGAATTAATCACACCCAAATTTTGATCAATGTTTTACTTCCAAATTGAACTGCAATTCAAGAATGACGAAATTTTCAGAAGACCGACTGGCCCGTTGATAACGAATACGTCAATGTTCAAATTAATATTTGTACTTCTCCTGTTTATATATCTAGAAATAAAAGTGAGGAGATTTCGAAACCTTCTCGAATAAAGTTTTTTTCCGCTATTTTAATTTTTCCTCTTCTATTCTTTTGTATGAAAAAGTTCCTGTATGAAATTTTATTTAAAATTTCCATTTATATCGCTTTCTATCCAAATCGGAATAGATGTTGACTTTCTACGATCCCGTTTCGTTGATCGTTCCTGTTTGCTTAATCACATTTTTTGTATGTAAGTATGACAATCTACATTGCTTTCCATCTAAAATTACTCGTTAACCAAATATTATTCTTTCATATGATGGGGTATTTCATCGTATTCTCTCCTTTCAATGGTACCCGTTGCTGTTCGTTTTCTTGTCATCCCCAGCGCATGTTCAATCGCAAAAATATGATGTCTGCACTTTTTCATCCTCTATCCATTCTTCTTGCCTTTTCTTTCAAATATACGATCTACTTTTTGAACACCATCTATCAAAACTACCAAATCACCTCATTTTTTGCTGTTCCTTTTTTTCTACGACAGATGGGCGTGAAGGCTTAAAAGAGATCTTTGAATAGTGGTTTGCTGAGGATGAACGACGACAATGGGGTATGTGAATTTCACGGAATTTCTATACAAATTTTTCAACCCTCAAAAAGCGAAACTTTTGAGATTTTGAGATTTTGAGATTTGCACCAAGATTCGATTCCCTAGAACGCATAGTTATTAAATTGAAAACGAGTAATTTATTTTTCGTTTTTTCTACTCAATCGTACCAACCTCCGTTTACGTCCATTTGTTGAATAACTCTGTACTCAATTTAACAACACAAATTTATGAAATGTTTTCATTTGTTCGATATTAATACCGAACGCAATTAACAACGAAGTGGAATTGTCAGTTTCGATAACGATTCTAATTAATACCCGATAAAATTTAATAAACGAAAAACCTTCCGACTTGTCTCGAGTGTATTGTTATTTCCAGTGGCTCAAAAAAGATTGTACGTGTCAAGCGTACGCAGCAACGAAATTAATTTTCAATTGTTTTACACACTTGTGCCCCGACACGATGAGTCGTCAACGCATGGCGATATTTGCATATGTGTGCGTTATATGTGTACATATACACAGGTAGCAGGTGATTTTAAATAACGACTTGTTAGTAGAGATAGAATTGAAATATGCTGCAAGTAAATTCGAATGATTAATGAATATCTTGGAAAAAGAGGATCAATGCTTTCAACTATTTGATTATTATTTAGGAATTATATTTAAAAAAAAAGAAATTTGTAGATTAATGTTCTGAGAAATATCCTAAGAGAATAATCGGTTAACTCGATATGACAAATATATTTCTTCCTACACCAGAACAACGTTCGAATTGTATTCATTTCCCAAGGCTACAATTACAAAATACGGTGACGTAAACGAAAGTCCAAACCACGTTCGAATCCAAAAATATTGCAAGGTTATCATCACTCAATAATAAAACCTCCTTAAAATCACAATTTCTCGAACGACTTAACACGTCTCGGGTTATTCACATGGCACAGACAAAACAACGCGTTAACGAATTTACTCAAAATCGTGAATCAAATTTTCCACCCAGATGAAACTTCGAAGTACAGTTGAAATATGACCCGGGCTGATGGCAAAAAAACAAAACAGAAATATAAAAAAAAAATAAACACACGAAGTGGTGGCCTTGTTCGAAGGAAAAAGAGCGAGGGAACGGTTCATTGAAGCATCGACTTCAAAAGGATTCGCGTGAACGGGGAAGTGGAATTTTCATTATCGGAATACCAGTCGCTGTCAGTAAACCTCTTACACCGCTTTGATAAACGCGCTCCTTGCAGGGCGTAGTCATCCCTCCAGCTAAAAAGAACACCAAAGGCAACAACGAAAGAAAAAACGAAACCGTTGGTACGCGACACTCGTACGATTACTTCGAGGAATAACTCTGTTGAAGAAATAACGATTCTCTACGAATTAATCGTAACGAGAGGCAATTAAGGTGGTTCGAAGTTGTTGTAAGATCAGTTACGAAACACGGCAGGGGATCGACCGATTGAATCGTGAAAAGTATCGGTGAGTATATCAGTTTATGCAAGCTTCCATCTGTTTCCTCAAATGATCAGAAGTTAAATTAATTCATCCGAGACAAGTTCAAAGCTAGAAGCATTTTTGTGAAGCATTTTTTGTGCGAGTGTTTGTAAAGATAGTATTCGTATCTTTTCTCCATAAACACCCAGCCTGTGTTCTTAAGATTGCATTACCACGGAAGAAAGTTATTTCTTCATGTACAGTTAATCATGTCTGTTTGCCTATCTCTTTAACCTGTTTTCTCTCTTGACATTCTTCGGTAAACATTTGTCTCACTGTGTCAATATCTTTATTTTTCTCCAGCTATTTATTTTTTCAGTATTTGACTTTGCGCGATGTATCCTAGAGAAAGTAAGTGCTCGAGATAGAAGAAAGTGGCGCCATTTGATTTCCAAACCCTTAATTTCTTCATTCAATTTTTCCACTTTTGACGATTGAAAATGTCCCAACTAAAATTCCCGAATTCTCTCTAAACTTCCGGAAGAAGGAGAAAAAAAAAAAAAAAAATGTATAAGCCTTCATTCCTGTTGGTGAAACTTCTTTCAAGCTCCCTACACAATTTCACCCCCCACTTGCCAGAACGCATCCCAGCCCTTTCAGGTGAAATCTCTTGAATCCGGTGAAAGCGTGTCTCTATTTGCTGGCAGCGTTTTCGAAAGCTTCTACATGAACTGCGTCGCCGCTAAGAGGCCGGTGACGTCGTATTTCCGGTGCTTTCGAGCGGAATGCGCAACATCGACGTGTACAGAGGGTTACTTACCAAAGGGCCAGCTGGTAATGCAGGATCGCACGGTTCGGTTGCGACATGTCCCTGAGGAAGTTGGCGAAGTTGTAATGCATCTTGGCGTTGTGGGGAAGAGACCGTAGACCAGCTCTGCAACAACAACGTGTTAAGGTCAGATCAGACGTCCCGATTTTTCTTTCGTCACCAACGTTTATCCATCCTGTTGGTCACATTCGAAGCGAATCGCTTCCGCGCGACTTTAGCTGGTTTATACACGTGTACGTAGGTGCAAGCGCCAGTCTGGCGCTATGCCAGCCGCGTTGTTCCACTGGTGGCAGAAAAGCCTGACGTAAATCTTCGTCGAATTACTTTGCGATTCGACGAATTTAGAACCCACCCTCCCATGAATACCACTGCACGAACTAACCGAGAGGAAACTTCTAGCGACAATTTATCCAATTTTTTTTTTAATATCGATGATTTATCGAAGGATCAGAGATAAGCAGGGAAGAATTGTAGAGTAACGTTAATGCAGAACAAATTGACCTGAATTAAGAGGGATGATTTTGCAAGAAGAGAACTTTGGAATAGAATGTTTAGAGAAAAGGGAAGTTGGAACTTTGAACAAGAATTCAGATTGAAAGATCCAAAGGAAGAAATTCTAGAAGAGAACAGACTCGGAGTACAGAATTTGAAACGACAGTTATTGGAATAAAAAAGTGTAGAAATAAAGGAAGTTTCTACCAAAGGGAATTAATTTTAGATTTTGACTAATGTATTTGTCGAAGCAAGATTCAACTTGCTTTTCGCAAAATCAAGATTTTTTAAAATGAGAGCTATATGGAATGTTAGAATGCTGCGATTTCTTAAAAAATTTATTGCAAAAAGCGTCGACACGCTTCCAGACGAATTTCTAAGGAACGAAAGGTTCATGAATTTTTCACGCGTCCCAAGAAACACGGTCGCGCTCCGAAATCTTCTATCACGGCGAAAATTCTGGATCCGTGAATTCGAAAAGATGAAATTTGTGCAAGCGCCACTTTCAATTGTAAATAAAGGAAGGCGACGTTGCGAGTTCCTTTACATCATCTTCACCGACGGGTACACGAAAGTGCGCGTCTGTTTCCTCAACGTGATTCGTTCTATTATCGACGCGATCGTTATCGGACTAATGTTATGACAGCCTCGGTGCACGATGAAAAATAAACGATTTGCGTTTGAACGGGTGCAAAGTTTACTCGTAATTAAAACGAAGACGTCAATGCCTTTCTTAAGATGCGTTTGACAGGTTGAAATGTGTAAAGAGACAGATTGCATCTCTAATTATATTAATTACTAACAGCTGGATGATCGATTCGAATATAGCGTTTCACTAACCTGAGCAAAGTTTCTCTTGAAGTCCAATCTCGGTTTCTAAGAACCGTTCTGTAACATCCTAACAGCAGAAGTAGAACTATCCCCGTTGTGATCAGACTTCTTCTTCGGGGAATAGCCGTCCAGCTGATTTGCATCCCGTACACGACTAGTAGAATCCATCCGACACTGTAAGATTATTAGTTCTTCATTTTTTATCGATGTTTATTAATATATGACAAAATATGAATAACAACCGTGTTCGGTAGAAGTCTGATTAGCAAGTTTTCGCAGCGTTTATTCTCCTAGGATCCGACGGTCTTCTTTGACTTTTAAAATTACAAAGGGTGAGGATAAATTAGTAGTTACCTGGGCATGTAGAGCACTCGTTCCGCGACGACGAATCCAACGGTAATAAAAAGATTGGATGCGGGCAGGAACGGGAGTACCAGGAACATCCAACCAAGGAGAAGAGGCGGGTGCCTCTGTTGCTGAAAATGAAATGCAGGTTGTTGCGTTAAATGCGATGAAAAGAGTTTCACCTTAGAATGAAACTGTTCCCAGTTCCCGCACAATGTTGCGTTTCCCCTCTATCCGTATGCTAAATATATAATACTTTCCTCTTACAAAGATCGCAACGTTTCCTCTTACGTTTCGTTTCGTTTCTGCTTCAACTTGTTTCAACGAAAGTTGAAAAACTGTGTCGTGGATCGAGATATTTCAAAGAATTATAAACGCATGGCAAACGTTTTCGAATATAAATATGAGGAAACCAGCAATCACTGATGGTACAGACAACATAATAAATTAATGTAGCAATGAAGGAAAAATTTAGGACGAATACTGACCCAGCGATTCAATCCACCTCTTTCCTTCCTACAATATTAATTGGGATTTTTTCTCGTACCTTTTGTTCTCCCATTATTTCGAATTTCGAGTTTTACACGTAACCAGACTGCTATGTTTCTCTGTCAAAATTAATTATAAATAACATTGACTCCGAATGGTAAATTTTATGAAAATTCATTATTAACCCTTTGGCATACATAGCTATCTACCCGGCGAGTAACCTCCATTATCGCACGGAACAATAATAATAATAATTTAATTAACGCCATACACGCTAAGTACGGTAAAATTATCATAAATTATTAAAATTACGTTTCATTGCAGAACCTTAATGACTTATGATTTATGATCAACGAAGAGACGTTTGCAAAAATTGCAATTCATCTTGAAAGTGTCATCTAAAGTACATGATGTTCCGAAAGTGATTCCCGGAAATAGAAGCGGAACAACGGGAACGAATTGGTCGAGCTGGAACAACAATTGCGCACGTTTCACGTGCAGACTGTTTTTACAATTGCTGCAAACAGTATATATAATCGACGAATCAGCTAAAAACGATAACAGTGTCCAATGATACGGCGAAGATGAAGATACCAACGATACTTTTATCACTTTTCTTCTGCTGTGTTGCCGTCTCGTCGGAGATTCAGCAGCAAAAGAAATCGAATGGGCAAACAGAGAAACGGGTGGGCGTTGAAACGACAGTGAAACGGTCACACGTCACCGATGTAGAAGCTGCTTCGAGAAATGTTCAAACGAAACGTTCTTTGGAGGTTGGACAGCAGAAATCACGAAGCAAAGAGGCTGGATTAAGCTTTCAGGAAACGGGATCAGCGCAAAAGACTTCGAGCGGAACTGATTGGGGAGGGTTGCTTCCTGACGCAGAGGTATGTTTGGATAGATCAAAGATGATCAAAGATTCGTCGACGTTGCACAAGGAATTTAAAGCACCTACACTCGTTTTATTTCACTTTAGATGTAACGAAATCATTGTGTTGATTAATACATTCTAGATACATTGAATAAATCATGCAATACTTTCATTTTATTCAACAACAAGTCATTATATTTCGATCTTCGACAGTTTTTAATGTTACAAATAATTTTCAAAAGAGTTTTAATCTAGCTGACAGTACAACGTTATATATTTTTATTTATTGTCATTTTAATTCCTATTAAAATTTATCTATGATATTATTCGAATGATTATGAAAACATTTGCAACCAAAACGCAGGAAAAGGACAGGAAGAAGCAAAGTGAAGTGTCTCCGATAATAGCATGGCTGGGAAATCTAAGAGCGTCAAAATCTAACGAGCAAATATCATTGCATCGAGGACCCTATTGGGATTCCTTCACGTCAGAGGACGCGAAATACACGAGATTAGACCAAGCAGAGAAACTTGGCGACAAACCAATCAACGATAATTGGTACATGTACCTGATACCAGAGAGTTCAGAAGATTATTCAGAATCATTGGCTCCAGGCAGAAGTGCGATAATTCAAAGCCAGCAACGAAATGGACAATGGATTAGTAGTGGAACAAACTTACGCTGGAAGGAAGGACCTGAGTGGTCGAATCGCGGGAAGAAAATTAAAAATGAAGATGCCAGTGCCCGTTGGAGGATGCAAAAATTGCCTACGTCGCAATGGAACACTGACTGGAAGAAAGAAAATTTAAAAGAAATAAAAGGAAACGAGGGATCAAGGATAGATTGGAAACGAGAAAGGAACTCACAGTGGAAGAACAGTGGATTGGATGTAAAAAATTGGAAAATCAATGAGGATAATTCGAAAAAGAGCGAAGGGAGTAGTAGAAGTTTGGAAGGTTTACGAAGTAAAAGTGAAAAATCATTGGATTCTTCAGACGATAGAAAAGCTAACGAAGAAGGGGAGAGGATAAATAAATATTTAAAACACAAAACTTTGTTTGATTCCGATCCACTTCTCTTGCTGGATGAATTGGAGCATGGTTCAAAATACAAACACAAGGGCACTGGACGGTATGATACAATGCTACACGGTGATAAAGCTCATGATAAAATGTACGAGAGCAATCGATATATAGGTAATAGAAGAGGTAGTGATAAAGTAGATGAATTGCCAGAAATGTTAAAACTTAAGGGCTGGAGAGAAGAAGACGAAAAAATGAAGGCAGAGAGGGAACATAGTTCCAAAAAGATACAGTTGGAGAAACCATCAAAAGAAACAAGCGATGACAGAATAAAAACTTTATGGAGTACCAGGCAATCTGATAAAATACAGGGAAAAAATGATGAGAAACATCGAATTCTAGTTATTAATAAGAAGATCCCTGACGAAAAGTTAAAGTCGCATGAACTAAAATCGTGGAAGTCGAAAATTCTGGCAGGCGAACAGAGAAACCAATATAGTCAACGTGGTGAAGACAAAACAATATCTTCTGAAGAAAAGAAATCAGAAAAAGATGAATCAGGAGGAGCAAGGAGTCACATGTGGAAGAGTAACATGGAACAAAAGGTCCCCCAGAGAAATAGAGAAAGTAAAGAAAAAGAAGAGAACAATTTGCAAAAAGAAAAAATTGCAGCAGGAAAGTCAGGAATAGAAGATTTGGGCAAACAGGAACATGGACCAAGAGGTTGGAAGATGTACAAGCCTCTGAAGGATTCAAAAGAGAAAATATCCAGAGGAGATGGTTTCGAGGTAAGAAAATGGAGTGCAGAAATTCCAGACGAAAACAGACATTGGAAACAGAATCTACGACAACAGGTATTGAAAACAGAAGATGCGGGATGGTGGAAACCAAGCAGTGACCACTGGAATAATAAGGGCCTTAAAACAGCCAGTCCAGAACAACAGATGCTGGGCCTACAGAACATAGAAAGGAACAACCATATAATGGAAGTATCTCAAAATAAGGAACTAGAAGAAGACAGCAGGAAAAAAAATGAAGAAGAAGAGAACATCAAAACAGGAAGATGGGAATCTGAAAAAATCAAAAAGCAAACCACAGAAATAGTAAACTATGGGCTAAAAGAATCTGACAAAGAGAAACCGGAAATGAAGGATTTACTTCTTAAAAAATCAAAGTCAGAAATGGCTGAAAAAAAGAAAATTCAAGAGCAAAGGGAAGAGAAGAGTTCGGAAGAAAAGAAAACTAAGAAGCTTGAGATTCATAAGCCTGAAGATCAGGGATGGAACCAGAAAGAAAAGTCAGAACAGTCTGAGAAGAAGGAGGTTCATGTTGAAAGTGAGAATAAGGGTTTGCGAAAGATAGAATTGAAGGGAATTGAGGTAGAGAAGCCTCAAGGACAGGGATGGACCATGATAGGAAAGCCAGAAGAGACCGAGAAGAAGGAGGTTCAAATTGAACGTGAGAAGCAGGGTTTGGGAGAGAAAGAAGTGAAGGTTGAAAAGCCTCAAGAACTGGGATGGGCCATGATAGAAAAACCAGAAGAGATTGAGAAGAAGGAGGTTCAAGTTGAAAGTAAGAAAAAGGGTTTGGGAGAGATAGCAATAAAGGAGATTGAGGTTGCGAAGCCTCAAGGACAAGGATGGGCCATGATAGATAAGCCAGAAGAGACCGAAAAGATAGAGGTTACAGTTCAAAGTGAGAAGCAGGGTTTGGGAGAAATAGAATTGAAGGAGATTCAGGTTGAGAAACCTCAAGGACTGGGATGGGCCATGCAAAAAAAGCCAGAAGAGTCAAAGAAGAAGGAGGTTGAAGTTGAAAATGAGAAGCAGGGTTTGGGAGAGAAAGAAGTGAAGGTTCAAAAACCTCAAGAACAGGAATGGACCATGATAGGAAAGCCAGAAGCGTTAAAGAAGAAGGAGGTTCAAGTTGAAGGTGAGAAGCAGGGTTTGGGAGATAAGGAAGTGAAAGTTGAAAAGCCTCAAGAACAGGGATGGGCCATGATAGGAAAGCCAGAAGCGTTAGAGAAGAAGGATGATCAAGTTGAAGGTGAGAAGCAGGGTTTGGGAGATAAGGAAGTGAACGTTGAAAAGCCTCAAGAACAGGGATGGGCCATGATAGGAAAGCCAGAAGCGTTAGAGAAGAAGGATGATCAAGTTGAAGGTGAGAAGCAGGGTTTGGGAGATAAGGAAGTGAACGTTGAAAAGCCTCAAGAACAGGGTTGGGCTAGGATAGTAAAGCCAGAACAGTCAGAGAAGAAGGAGGTTGAAGTTGAAAGTGATAGGAAGGGTTTGGGAGAGATAGAATTGCAGGAGATTGAGCTTGATATGCCTCAAGAACAGGGATGGGCCATTATAGAAAAGCCAGAAGAGTCAAAGAAGAAGGAGGCTCAAGTTGAAGGTGGAAAGCAAGGTTTGGGAGAGAAAGAAGTTAAGGTTCAAAAACCTCAAAAACAGGAATGGGCCATGATAGGAAAGCCAGAAGCGTTAGAGAAGAAGGATGATCAAGTTGAAGGTGAGAAGCAGGGTTTGGGAGATAAGGATGTGAAAGTTGAAAAGCCTCAAGAACAGGGATGGGCCATTATAGAAAAGCCAGAAAAGTCAAAGAAGAAGGAGGCTCAAGTTGAAGGTGAAAAGCAAGGTTTGGGAGAGAAAGAAGTGATGGTTCAAAAACCTCAAAAACAGGAATGGGCCATGATAGGAAAGCCAGAAGCGTTAGAGAAGAAGGATGATCAAGTTGAAGGTGAGAAGCAGGGTTTGGGAGATAAGGAAGTGAAAGTTGCAAAGCCTCAAGAACAGGGATGGGCCATTATAGAAAAGCCAGAGGAGATCGAAAAGAAGGAGGTTCAAGTTGAAGGTGAAAGGCAAGGTTTGGGAGAGAAAGAAGTGAAGGTTCGAAAACCTCAAGAACAGGAATGGGCCATGATAGGAAAGCCAGAAGCGTTAGAGAAGAAGGAGGTTCAAGTTAAAGGTGAGAAGCAGGGTTTGGGAGATAAGGAAGTGAACGTTGAAGAGCCTCAAGAACAGGGTTGGGCTAGGATAGTAAAGCCAGAACAGTCAGAGAAGAAGGAGGTTGAAGTTGAAAGTGATAGGAAGGGTTTGGGAGAGATAGAATTGAAGGAGATTGAGCTTGATATGCCTCAAGAACAGAGATGGGCCATGATAGAAAAGCCAGAAGAGACCGAGAAGATGAAGGTTACAGTTGAAAGTGGGAAGCAGGGTTTGGGAGAAATAGAATTGAAGGAGATTCAGGTTGAGAAACCTCAGGAACAGGATTGGGCCATGATAGAAAAGCCGGAGCAGACCGAGAAGAAGGAGATTCAAGTTGAAAGTGAGAAGCAGGGTTTGGGAGAGAATGAAGTGAAGGTTGAAAAGCCTCAAGAACAGGGATGGGCCATTATAGAAAAACCAAAAGAGACCGAGAAGAAGGAAGTTCAAGTTGAAGGTGAAAAGCAAGGTTTGGGAGGGAAAGAGGTGAAGGTTCAAAAACCTCAAGAACAGGAATGGACCATGATAGGAAAGCCAGAAGCGTTAGAGAAGAAGGAGGTTCAAGTTGAAGGTGAGAAGCAGAGTTTGGGAAAAAAGGAAGTGAACGTTGAAAAGCCTCAAGAACAGGGATGGGCTAGGATAGAAAAGCCAGAAGAGTCAGAGAAGAAGGAGGTTGAAGTTGAAAGTGATAGGAAGGGCTTGGGAGAAATAGAATTGACGGAGATTGAGCTTGAGAAGCCTCAAGAACAGGGGTGGCCCATGATCGGAAAGCCAGAAGAGTCAGAGAAGACGGAGCTGGAAGTTCAAAGTGATTGGAAGGGTTTGGGAGAGATAGAATTGAAGAAGATTGAGCTTGATAAGCCTCAAGAACAGAGATGGGTCATGATAGAAAAGCCAGAAGAGACCGAGAAGATGAAGGTTACAGTTGAAAGTGGAAAGCAGGCTTTGGGAGAAATAGAATTGAAGGAGATTCAGGTTGAGAAGCCTCAGGAGCAGGGATGGGACAAGAAAGAAAAGCCAGCAGAGTCAGAGAAGAAGGAGGTTCAAGTTGAAAGTGAGAGGAATGGTTTGGGAGAGATAGAATCGAAGGAGATTGGGGTTGAGAAGTCTCAAGAACGGGAATGGATAGAGGAGGATGTAGATGCTGGAAAAGGAAAGTTGCTCAATTCTGTAAAGAAAGAACTTAAAGTTGAAGGGCTAGAAAAGAATTTAATGGAGGAAGGCGTCAAAATGAAAGGTTTGAAGTCTAACCAATCTAAGAAACAGAGCATAGAAATTGGAGAAGTTGGATTAGGAGATTCAAAAGAAGTGAAAATGGAAGCCAAAGATGTTGAAATTAACAAAAGTATATCTAAGGATTCTGAAAAAGTAATGCTTGAACCAGAAGATCTGAAAGGAGGTAAAACGGTGCGATGGGAAGAGCAAGGACTTGAAGCAGGAATTCCAAAAGAAACTAACCCTGGAACAGAGAGCTTATTGTGGAGTCCAGAGAGAGGTTTTCTGTGGTCAAGCAATCCACACACTACAGAAGCTGTTCCTGACGGTCTAGACGAGAAGAACCTGCCACGAGAAGATTCGGAAAAAAAAGAATCTGGGCCATCGGTTTTGGAAGCACTCAATCCATGGGAGCCTAGTGACATTAAACGTAACGAGGAACTTCAGTTACCCGAGAGTAATATGTGGAGGAGAAAAGGTTGGGCAGATATTAATATTCCTGCACAGAAAGATGATAAAGAGTCTACGTTATTAGGCAAGGAAGATAATAATGATCAGTCTTTGACAAACAACAAACTCCTCCAAAAGAAACCTATTAAAATTGCATGGCCTGAGACTAGCAATGAAAAGAGCAGCAAATCCAAAGAAACTGGATCTTCCATTGAGGACACATACCTTAAAGCATCAGGTGATTTACAAAAGAGCGATCTGTCGGCAAAAAAAGTCATTGCAAAAAAAGAATCAAGTGAAGACATTGCAATCTCTAAAGAAAGCGGTTTAATTTTAAAAAATAGCAAAGAAGGAGAGAAACTTTCAAAACAATCTGAAAATAATGGTGAAATACGGAGAAAATTAAATAAAAATGATCTGACTTCTGATAATGGTTTAATTAAACCTGCAAATGTGAAAACCATTACATTAGAACAAAACATGAACAAGGATGAAACCATGGTACCTGATAAGAATATGGGACAAGCTGGAAGCTTGTCAACCATCGGCAGCATTCTAACAGGAAGTCCTAGTTCTTCCCAAAGAAGCGACGTATCGTCTGATACATCTGTTGAAGCGAACATGAAACTAGGAGACGCAAACAAAGCGATTCGTTGGAGAGGAGGTAATACAGCCAAAGCACAGTCAGCTGAGAACGTGAATAACGATGGCACGGCTGCAGCAATTACAAATGACGCGTCCACAGGTGCTGATAATCAAGATAAAATCGAGGTTTCCGATTTACACCCGGATTTGAGTAAATCACGCGAAGCTACTCATCAGATGGTTCCACATTCTGCAAAAAATAACCAGCATCCTTTAAAAATACCCAGAGAAGAAAGTGAAATTGAAATTTTAAAACCTTTTGAAGAAAATAAACAAAGAATTGTTGCTGAAGATAAGTCCGGTATCGAGAGATTATTAGATACGGGTGTAAAACAGGATAGTCTTAAAGAGAAGACGAAAGAAGAGACTTCAGCAACTGATTTAATATCAAATCAAGGTAAAACTCTGTTAACAGCGAGCAAGTCTGAAGGAAATATCGTAGAATCTGAGAAAGTAGAGGAAGGAACACGAGAAACTGAAAAAGTTGCACACGAGAAAGATGAGAATTACAAGATTCTCGAGGATCAAAATAGAAAGAACACTGAAAAGACCATGGAAACTGGGACGAATGAAATTGGGCAAGTTTCTTCCAAGAAGAAAGCGGAAGAAACTAAGGAAATAACGCATGGTTTAAACGAAAAAGGTAACTGGAAACAAGGTACTACTGAATTAAGTGTTAACAAGGTTGATAATAAAGTCGATCTGATTGAAAATCAGGATAAAGATTCGAGGAAGATGAACATGTGGAAACAGCTTTCACTTGCGCAAGATGTAAGTAGCAAATCAGAAGAAGAGATTACTTCAAAATCCAGTGAAACGATAAAACAAGGTTCAAAAATAGCCTCTTCAAAGGAATGGATGATTACAGATAAAAAATTACAAACTTCCAAGGAGAGACAAGTAACTAAATCAATAGAACGTAATGACAACGCCTCTAAGGAGCGCGGTGCGTCATCAGTTGTAATTAATCAAGTAGCTAAAGAAGAATCGCAGGTTGAGAAAACAAGCGAGCAAAACGTAGCTGAAGATCATCTGTCTAAACAGAGGAATTCCAAAGTGATTAGTAATTTGTCATCCGAGAAAAAGGGAAGAGAGGACAAGGTAGAAGAAGAAGTGTCTCCTACCTCGAAAGTGAGCAACGTCGAGTTAAAATCAGCTTCTTCAACGAAGGACAGCGTTCCTGAATTACCTAAGGGGGGTGATATTCGAGTAATTAAGGACGGACTCAGACCCGAAGAATCTGACACGCACGTTTGGAAGCAACAAAAAGACGAGAAGGAAGTTTCTCCGAATGAAAGTGAATCGATTAAACGTCTTTGGGATACGAAGAAGGCGTCTCGAGGGGATGTTAAATCCGCCGAGGGTAATAATGTCAGCGAAGAGAAGGAACAGTCATCGTTGGCATCGCACGCGTTAATACCAGGGAAAAACGAACCTTGGTCGCCCGTTTTAGGTGTCAAAAGTTTGGAGGAGAATGATAAATCGTCGTGGAACAAATTGAACTTACCCGGGGATTCGCGCGAAACAAAATTGAACGCGAATGGAATGGCGGCGAGCAATTTGCGAATATCCGCGGGGAAGCAATTAATCGAAGACAACAAACAGGAAGTGCCTTCAATTATCAGCTCTCCGGCTGCTTTGAATACCAAAACAACTGGTAAAGCACGCCCTCCAGTCGCGAATGAGGATTCAATTGTACGATATTTGAACGAAGTTGTCGGAGCAACGCATACTAATGAATTTGAATCTCCAAGAATCGAAGGAACGATTAGAAAGGGAAAACTTGGCAATTGGGCACCAATACCTCTCAAAAAGCAGCAATCAGGAATGATTAGCGATAAGAAAGACATAGAAATTGAAAAAGAGGAAACGAAAGCGTCTTCAAAGAGTGAGGATATAGTTAAGGACGACAAAGTTAAGAATTCGGCACCTATACCTCTGACAAAGCAACCTTCTTTAAACTGGAACAACAAAGAGGACATAGAAATCGAAAAACAGGAAACAAAGGGGTCTTCGAAGGGCGAAGGGATAATTAGAAACGATCAAGTTAAGAAATGGCCACCTAACCCACTCAAAAAGCAACCTTCTATAAACTGGAACAATAAAGGGGACGTAGAACTCGAGAAACTGGGAATAAAGGAGCCTTTGAAGAACGAAGAGATAATTAGAAACGATCAGATTAAAAAGTGGACGCCTAAACCGCTCGCAAAGCCAGTTTCTGTAAAAGATACTAGCATTCTTAATGTTCCAATGGCTCAGAAATCTGAAAAACAGATTTCCAAGGAAGAGGATCAGAAGTTGGTCAACGATGAACTCAGCGACGAGGATTGGAACACTGGAATCGTGGATAAACTACACCCAGCTTCGAGGAACTTTGCGAAGCCACTCAGAAAGGATGTGAATAAAAATGAATGGCCTGAATCTTGGGAGTCTCTTAAGTCCGGATCTAACAAATCTTTGGAAAATGATAGCTGGACTGAAACGGTGCACAGGATGATTAGGTCCCTTCTATGGATTATACGATCCTGGAGAATTGAGAAGACTGTTTCAGATGAGTCTGATACAAAAACGTCAAATGCTGAGATCATTAAGGAGACTTCTAAGGTAAGTTCCAAGGAACTGATTTCCCTAATTTTCATTTAAATATAAAATTAACAAATTTTGCAAATAGAGTTTTCCCATTGGTGATACGTAATGGATTGTTCTTTTCTTTTTTTATTCAGGAGTCAGATACAACTAATTTGGATGTCTACGTGGTGAAATGGGGTCAAAAAGGACCCGTCAAAGTTGCAGCCGTGAACAACATGAAACCTTCCATCATAAACAAATTATTATTGCCGAGGAAGTCGTACGAGGAAATTCGTGAATCGTATAAAAAGAATGCAATTAAAAATATTCCTATAGCAGCATAACATAATTATCGAGTTTGCAATTAAATTTGCAACCTTCCTATCACAAAATTATCGTAAAAGATTATTGAATTTGTTCATTTTTAATAAGATTTGCGAATTTACTTATCAATTAAATACTTAAATAATCGTGTTATTTGATATTTTTAATACTTAATCTTATAATATTATAAATTATTCAATTAAGATGTATGTCTATCATAAAGATAGACATTATCATCGGATTTATTTAATCTTGTTAGTTTCTTGTTAATTCAACTGACGTGTAAACACGAAAACACATATATTCCCTTGTAATCATTCAACATTCTTCATTCGTTAATTAAATAATGTATCATAATGTTTCTAGCCACGACAGTGAAATTACTACCTTCCTGTGTTATAAATACTGTACTGTAAATATAAATGTATTTCGTTAATAAAAATTATCTTTAATTTGATGAAATACATCTGTCCATTTTTATCTGTGATATGAATTATTTCCTGTATTTCTGTCCAATGAAAGTTATTACTTTTCCCAGGATATAGAAATAATTATATTATTTGTTGCTCCGAACAATTTTTAAAAAAGTGTCTTCCCACTAAATTACCCTCGATTTTCAGAAGCAGAGCGAATAAATAAGCTCGAAAGAAAAAGAACAGGCGATTAAACGATTACGGGGCAGGAAATGAGCAAATGCGAGGCTGATTGTTGTTCAAAGACGTGTTTGGCGCGAATCAATTTCGGATCAGCAGTTTTGTGACTGGTGACTGTATGCATTTCCTGTTTCTATGGGCTCCATTGGACGAACGGGATAATTACTGTCTGGCATATTTGCATATCTTCGTACAGAATCACCATAAACCGATAAACGTATTAGTTTAGTGGAAAATATAAACAAACGTCTTTTTAGTAGATGATCGATCGTCATTTTGCTATTTGACGCGATGCACTTTTCATTTTACTTCACAAACGAAAATTGAAATACCTATTTTTCATTAATTTCAAATTTGTTCAGCAAACACGAACCACGTTTAACGATAAAACTGTTCACGTTTCACTATATTGCAGCAAGATTACACACGAGTACCTAAACGAACCAACTTGCGTCCATTCCATTTCTCACAAATACCGCGTTGAACTCTGGAAATAATACAACTTGGAAAGTTGAATTCACATAGAACGAAACGTGACGTTTACCCAGACACCTTACTACAAGTGGTGCAACAAACTCTAAAACTTTCATCGATTTTTCGATCAACTCTCAAAGAATATTCGTCCATTCTGCCGCACCGTTTAACCCACCGACGGTTCTCCGGGTTCTTTCTTCTTAGCGCGAAAGTGTGTCAAATATGTGCGCTGAATACGGACAATACAGCATCGAGAACAATGCCGAGGGGCGTTATTACTGAAACGTCCCTCAAATCGGATGTTAGGCGCAAAGATTACGACGGGAAAGCGGACTAGAACGGCCTCGTTCTCAAAGAAGATATCCGTTCCTTGCCGGTTCCATCAACGTGCACCGCGGCCACCACTCTCTTTCGACGGCAAGAAGGGTTGGCTAAGGGTGAGCAAAGGGGTGAGACGACGTTAAAACCACAGATATGGCCTCCTTCGAGAAAAGTGGCCACCGAGTTCGTACACGTTCAACCTTAAAGAGGACATTACGGTAAACGCTCAGCTGCGTCGCTGACGGATGACCCGAAAAACAGAAAGGTCCGAGGGTTGCCATCCCTCTGCCGTCGCTTGACTCGCGTCGCGAAACTTTCTTTATGGCTTTCCAGGCTGGTACAACTTCATCAGAAGCGGTTCGCTACGCCCGCGGGGATCAGAAGCAACACGGAACTTTGCGGTTCGTTACACCCCGCACTTGTGACCCGAAACGTTTAGCCACGAAATGACTTCTCCTCGATGATAATTTATTCGGTTATTTCATTTTTCTTTTTTGTACATCTTTTTTAATATATTAGAGTTTGAAAAGAATGAATAAATTTCGCAATAATATAATGAATCTAATCAAAAACGATTATCAAGAGTTGTTGCAAGGATTGTTTTCATATTACGTAACACGCATATCCGTCTCATTCGGTCTGTAATTTCCTGTCGTTGTAATTAAAAGTTAACGTTTGGTAGGCGGGTACGTGACACGGGAACGCGTTCTTTCTGAATAAAACTGGTAATTTATGGATACACGTCCACGACACAGCGATCCAACTTTTTGCTGGTGCCAGCCGTTTTTGCCAGCCACGCGATAATGGCCAGCCGTGCAATTTGCATAAACCTTTCGCGAACGAGAAATTTCGTTTGTCATTCGTGTGAAAACTCACCTCGAAATCCGTGAAGGCTTTGTACGTGAGAATTAGACAGCCACCGAAGAACAGACAGGTGGCCAAATTTCTGGTGTCGGCCAAAGAGGCGACCAGAGGAACGGATCCCATTTGCCAGTCGTGTGACAACGTCGCTGGACAAAGCAGCAACCAGCAATTCAAAGCCGCAAGGTAACAGAACGTCAATAATCTGGAACAAAAAAAAATTGAAACGCTTATTAGCGATGGGTGATGTAGAGGGTGGACTGTGTAAATAAGAATACCTAAAAATTTGTGGTATTATGGAATTTGTAAAAATGCTTCGTGAGATAAGAATATCTTGTATCAGAAAAATTTACGTTGCGCAATTTTTGCGAAATAATCGTATTTTACCAGCGTGCTTGTCGATGCTATGCTCCTGGCACGTAAAGCTTATTACCATCCAAAAGCGTCAATCATGTGTCACAGAAGTGCTCGGTCGAACGTGTCAAATCCAGATGCGTCGAGGCTTGTTAAATAACAAATTTCACCTTGTGTTTTTTTCGATCAATGTGATCACGAAAATACTGCATGTTTTATGAGATCAGACAGTTGACGTTAAATTACGGGCTACGTCAATTATAAAAAATGGCCAAGTAATTTCTCAACGTTACGCATGGTCTATTAATTACACCACATTTAAGCATTACATTATTACGTGAAATGATATACTAAACGTGCAAGTCGTCGTTTAAACGTCAACGCAAATAAACACTTCGTACTTCGTTTAATCAACTGAGCGAGTTGTTTTCGATGAGAATTCCGTGTCAAACATATTATATCACGATTACCGTAATTGATTTCAAACGATATTTTAAATCAATTATTATCAGCACTTTGATCACTCGAAATTTATACTATTTCGTTTACTAAAAGCACTCTAGTTAGATTTTCTAAAAAAAAAAAAAATTTAATCTTGGAGTCAATTGAAGCCCCTTTCTTTTCCCTCTTTTTCCAGGCGTCATCACGTTCTCCTCGTCATTTTTTCCCTCTTATTTTTCCCGCGAAAATTGGTCGACGATACTTCGAGCGGGAACGGCGTGTTCACGCGGCTGGTATTGTTCGAGCAGAGGGGGTGATGGTGAAGAGGTCGAACGACGCCGGCTGAAGAGGCACCCTCCAATGCTGACGTGGGGCTTCCATTTTCCTGCTATCAGCATCTACCGATATAATCACCGATATAATGCCTGGCCGTTCTATGGCAAGCATCTCAGCCATCTTCGAGGAGGATGGCCCCGTGTATCGTCGCGCCTACGAGCGGCTTACTCGGCAGCTCCATTGTTTGCCGCATAAGCGGAGAGGCACACAACAAGACCGGCATAACCCGCTATTAAATATTCACACCGTTCCGCAGTGAGTGTTAATCCTGCTGCCGTATGATCCTTCCTAATTGTCGTCGGCGCCGGTATGTGGCGTGCGTGGTGTTTCGGAGCTTCTAGAAATTGTATACAGCGACGTACGAATGATGGTACAAACGCAAATGAAGTAACCCCTATTGCAAATTTAAATGAAAAACGTAGACGTTCAACACGAAGCTTTGCTTTCGACTAATTAACCTGAAATATTAATCAAGACCATGTTTCCATCGCGAAACAATTTGAAAAAATTCGACACACTGTTTCGAAATGGGGCCGGGTAGTTAAACATTTTTTCATTTAACGCGTTCCCTTTTGAATAACGAGCTTCGCGTGTGTTCCTCTCGTAACAATTTCGTATAATAAATCAAGTAATGCGCGCATTTCATTTGGCTTTATGACTGACTACGTTGCATCAAAATTCTGAGGAACATAATTATCTGCGTTAACGAAGAACCGACGGACAGAATGAAATAGGAAGAGAGAGAGAGAAAGAGAGACGACGACGACGGGACAACTGAAAAATATAAATATAACAAGCGCAAAGTGGCATTGTTTCACTTCTAGTTTTACCTCCTAGCGTACGTAAAGAGCAATGCGAAACATTCCTCGTTTTCATCACATACTACCTACCGTTGGTTCAACAATAGAGCACCGCCGGATTTGTTTTAAAAGAGCCTTACTCTGGATTATTAACACCCTACAGCCGAGTGCTTCGCGTTGCTTTTCATTGAAAGGGAAATAGTCGTGGCACAGAAACGCACGCTACCTACCGCTCATCATTTTTGCATCGCAAGCACAATGCCAGACTTAATTAAACGCGTTATGCCGTTACGAGTACACTTAACTACGATAATTCCTTGTGATTACGATTCGAGCTGCGTTCACACGCACAGAGACAAGAGGGTAATTTATTCTCAGCGATGTTGTCGTATAATTTATAATCCCGGCCCCAAAGCTGAATCGCCGCTTCGTCGTTTCTCTTAATAAGCTGAAAATGTGTCCATCGACGTCCATTCTTTTCTTCGTATCGGTACCATCAAATTTTCCTATGCGTCGTTTAAAAAACTATGATACTCCATGGGAGACAAGTTCGTCCCCGGAGCGTCATAGGTTTTTCTCTGAAAATGCTGATCATCGCGTTGGTTGCGGTTGAAAGTCCGAGACCACCTCTCGGAACGAGTTGCCGCACAGAAACGACTGTACGCAGCAGTGCCATTATGTGCATAGAGAAGGTGACGGGTTCAGAGGGCGAAGGATATGGGATAAGGTAGACGGGATAGATACGTGGTAATCCCGAACTGCATTGCGGTATACTCCACTTCTCACTGAGTAAAGATGACCTTCCGACTCAGCTTCCGTCATGGTAAACTGATCCGAGCATCCCCGGGTACAATGTGTCTTGTGTTTGCCCTTTCGTGACTGGATTTCCCGACACGAAGCCCCTTGATTTCCAGTGTTCCATATTCCAGTTAATCCCTCCGCTGAATCCTCTTGTTTCAAGATTCAACGATACAGTGATACGCTTCATCCTCTTAGACACCATTGAAACTTCAACACCGAGCAGAACCGATACGTGATTTATCGAACGCTGTTACGTTCGTTTATTCCTGGACGGAATATAAAACTGTAACATTCAAGACGTTCAACTGGATCTTGTTAGCTTCGGCGAAGGATAAAGTTAGATGGACGTTGTTAAAATTAACTTTCGAACGTCTCTTGGTACAGACGTTTCTCTTACAACATTTACACCGATATCAAGCGGAATTTCTGTCGAAGATGAAATGGAATATGTAAATGTAATTTATTAATCGCGTTTTGAAATACGTATCCCAATTGCAGACTGTTATACAGTGAGAGGCAAACCTCGATTGAAATTGGACTAAATAACTTGAGCTTTTTCGAGAAGCTATACAAATTAATTCACAAACATATGTATTTTCATCGTTTTAAAAAATTACAATTTGTTGAAATCGTGAAAAAAATAGTGAATGGTAATTCTTCAACTTCTTTATGTGAGTCTATAATGAAAATTTAAAATATGTCTTTCGTAGATTCAGATAAGTTATGTGTATGGTAAAAATTTCATCGAGATCAGTCAAGTAATTAAAATTTCGGAAATTTTAAGTTATTTAGTCCAATTTTAACCGAGGTATTCTATTTTGAACAGTGTCTATTCACTTTTGCCTCTCACTGTATACGAAAAAATTATTTGTAACATGAGTATTTGATTTTGTACTAAATTGTAGAATGTTTCTTCATAAATTAAGAGCGGAATATTTCTGTTATTTGTATGATATTCGATTTAAGAGCAACTTATATTTTACTCCAGTTCGGTTGTAATGCTTTAACAATGCGGTCATTCTTGAAATATTTCGTTTCTAAGCTCATACCAAACCGCAATGCTATATATTACCAACAATGGCACGGAAACAGGTTACGTATAGAGCAACAACGCGAGCAAGGATTTAGAAGGAACACGACTGTTTACACTGGTTAAAGAATTTTCGACACAAACATCGCATGCAGCCGGGGAAAATACCGCCGGATTATTTTCTTCCGGCAAAGATTAATATTTAAAGGCTTCCAACATGGAAACGCTCCAGAGCTGCGTTACCCGTTCCCCAAAATCCTTGTGTCTACACTTCGAAAGTGTTCTGGCACGTTTCGCGTTTCAGAATTTCATTTTACGTTCTGCTCTGTCCTTGTGTAAGGAAATGAAAAATAAATTAACGAAATAGCTCGATTGATCGATGGTATTTGCATCTCTTAAATTAATTCAACAATTTAACCAGCTTCGAGATTATTATAGCATCAGAAAGTTAGTCATGCGAACTACATATTTCATAACACACGTTTATTAAAAATGGAATGAATAGTTTGATAGAAATTTCATATATTTATGAACATCCCTTCGTATTGTACATTTTCCTTTTCTAAAATTTCCCTGCTGCACATATCAGAGACATAAAAGAACTTTTAATTAAAAACAAAATTATTCGCACATTTTTGAAATTTCATTTCACTACCATAATATTAAAAGTCAGAATAATATAAACTGTAAAAAAAAATTGCAAATTAGATGATTCATAAACGTAACAGTAGCGGACGTCTAATGAGTTAATTAATGCTGATTGATGTTCCTTAAAAAGAAAAGAAACAAATTTTAAAAAACCTGGAATCAGACGGAAGAATCGCAAGAAACAATAACAATAATATATTCCATTCAATGGTTGACGTTCATTTTTCTGTCGTATCATTTTTCTCGGCACACTTTTATTTTGCTGACATGATTAATGGCTGTGGCCAGCTTAAGAAGCGTACACTCGAGATGTAGGAAGAAAAGCTGACCCGAAACGTCAAAATAATAATTCGACGCATACATCAACCGCTCACGGCACGTACTGTTACGTGAAAGAGCTCGGTGAACGTTTTTCCACCGAGGGGTGGACGATTTTACAATTCCAGTCTGACGTATATAGGGGAACGGACCGCGATTTTTGCAAATACGTGTATAAACCAACCGGATATTGCCGCGAACGCACGACGAATACCCGGGGATTTATAGGCTTTTACTCGTTATTTGGAACGGATGCATATTGTTGCACTCGTTTCGCGCGTCCTATGAATCAAACGCGCGAAAAATAGCGAACAGACGACAGGACGGTGCAAACGTATCGTTAGGGGATCCGCCCGGAGAAATTGATTTATCGAGCATGGATGTCTTAACTTTGACGAGGGTGCGGGGAAAAGTTGAGAAAGTTAGCACGGTTGACCTTTGAACAAATTGGGTAAATTGATATCATCGAAACTAAAC